GAGAGCGAAAAAGGGTGCAAAATGGATATGGTTGGAAGAATGCGAACAAGCTTTTAAAAATTAAAAAGTTGTCTATCAGCAGACCTATCGTTAGCGCATTTCGACCTGAAGAAGAAAATCATTGTAGCAGCAGATGCCAGGTTTGAGGGACTAGGTGTGGTATTGCTTCATAAATTCAAGGACGGATTTACAAAGTCAATAGCACATGCCTCAAGAATGTTACTGCTCATGGAATGAAGTTACAGTCAAATCGAAAAAGAGAGTTTAGCAATAATCTATGCTGTAAAAAAAATTCACGGGTTTCTATACGGAAGAGAATTTATTCTGCAAACAGACCACAAACCACTGTTAACAATATTTGGTTAAAAAAAAGTATACCAACTCACACGGCAAATTGACTACAGCGTTGGGGTGTAATTCTATTGAATTATAATTTCAAAATAGAATATGTGCCTTCAAAGAAGCTAGGTCACGCTGATGGGTTATCAAGATTGTTACCTAAATATACGGAACCACTGGAAGAAACGGTAATAGCGGTGCTAAAAGATGAAAGTGAATTGTTGCGTCTGTTATGCAACACTATTAGAGAACTACCGGTTATGCTAGATGATGTGAAAAAAGCAGCGGTGAACGATGATTTCATTTAAAAAAAAATGAAAAAGCAAGTCTAGTTGTCGACACAACTAAAAAAGGAATGAGTGTGTCACCTTTTGCAATCTGTGAACAGGTATTACTATACGCAGATAGAGTTGTAATGCCGGTTACTCTGCAAAAGAAAATTCTGAAAGAATTTCACACTGGCCATCCAGGGATTTCAAGAATGAAATCTCTAATGAGAGGCTATACTTATTGGCCGAGGATGGACCAAGACATAGAAAATTTGGTGAAACAGTGCAGAGGATGTCAACTGGCAGCAAGGGATCCACCGGTAAAGATTCAACCATGGCCAAAGACAGATGTCCCATGGACTTGATTACATATTGACTATGCAGGGCCGATAAATGGATCTTATTACCTGATTATTGTGGACAGTTTCACTAAGTGGCCAGAAATTGTTAAGTGCAGACATCCGACTGCAACAAATACAATAAACGCATTTAACAAAATTTTTAGTCGTTTTGAACTCCCTAAAACTTTAGTCAGCAACAATGGAACACAGTTTACAGGAAGAGAATTCAAGGAATTCTGTGGATCATTGTCCATTGATCATGTGACAACGTCAGTATATCATCCAAGATCGAATGGATAGGTGGAAAATTTCGTGGACACCTTTAAACGAGCGTTGAAGAAAAACCAAGGCATGGACACAAATGAAAGAAGTATTCAGAAATTTTTGGTAGTATATAGAATCACGCCAAACCCGAATACGACATCAGGGTTATCGCCAGCAGAGTTAATGTTTGCGAGAAAAATACGCTCTGTGTTTGACAGGCTGTTGCCTAGTCCGGTGAAGAAAACTGCTAAAAAAGAAAACCAGATGACTAAAGCGTATAAGCCAAGTGACAAAGTTTTTTTTCAAGAACTTTAGGGCTGGAAAAATGTATTGGGAAGAAGGAATGATAACCAAAAGAATTGGACAGGTCATATATGACATAAAAGGGGAAAAATTTCGGTGCAAAAGACATTGGCATCAATTGAGACCCAGACACACTACAGAGGTCACAGAAAACACTGAAGAGATTCCAATGAAATTCCTGTATGACGCATTTGAAATTCCCATTCCAGTAAGTCAACATTCGCCAATGGAGGTATCCCCAACCTCAAGGCCAGAGATACCAGTGTGTCAAACGGCACCACTGTAAGGAGGATTGAGGAGAAAAAGACCTAGGAAAAAAATCAATTGATTAAGTCCAGACCCTAAAAAAAGAAAATATTGAAGCTAAATTTCATAGGAAAATTTAGCTCAGGGGGAGGTGATGTAATGAATATGCATACATCTGGGTTCCCCATCACAGTAATATGATTGGCTGGTGTCAGCCATAAATACAGACTGATGCGGAGGTACAGGACTATGCCTATTGACTACGCCGAGAGTCTTTGCCTATTGCCTACCACTACGACGAGGACCAGTCCATTGCGGTTACCTCCTAGTTTGTCCTACCCGGTTACAGTAGTCAACAACCACTTTGCTACTTTGAACAAATATATCCCTTTCCAGGACATATCAATATGTAAAAGGTGGGGAGAATGAAACAGTAAATGTTGGTTATGATTATATATTGAGAAAAATGCTGGAGATGCAGGCACTTGAATTTTTGTGTACCTGAACGCATCAGATGCCAAGAATTTAAAATTTTAGGTCAAAGTTAAGCACACTTGCATCTTCAGCATTTCTCTTAATTATAACCAACATTTGTTATTGTCTTCTCTCCTCCTGCATATTAAACATTATTTAATCTAATGAAGTCATCTTGAAAGATAAAACATGTAACAGGATTTTTTCCATCTTGAAATTTAATTCTTCTTCTATGTGCTGTCTCCCTTCAAAATGTGGGTGATCACAGCACTCCAAAACTTCCTATTCTTCGTAGCTCTTAGCAATTTTTGTCCCCTTACTATTTCTCCCAGTCTCTGTTCCACCAGTTATTTACACAAGATTGTTAGATAAGTTACTCACTGTTTCCCTTTGTCCTTCTTACCCTCACTATGTCCTGTGAGTGTCAAATTTACTAAGCCTTCTTTTCTCATTATGTGTCTCAAAAATTTTAACTGTCTTTTTCTGATTTTATATATAATTGACCTTTTTGTTTCCATTTTCCTTAAAATGTCCTCCGTGCTTACTTACATGGTCCATCCGTGACTTTCTCAGCATTCTTCCATAGAATCATATCTGTGTTCTCTCAAGTCATCTACAGGGTGCGATGGATAAATTGTACTCTAAATTACGCAAAAATGAAAATAACACTGACATCTCATTTTAACTGATATATTTACTAAAATGACACAAAAATATCTTGAAATACTAAAGAGTAAATTTATTCAATAAAATCGTCATTCGATTCAACCACGGCCTCCATATGACTTCAGAATCTCCTAAAACTTTTCTGGACTGTCTCCTTGTTTAAGTTGGTGAGTGCTGTCATAATCCTTGCCTTCAGTTCATCTTTGGTGTTACAAAGAGTTTTGTTGGTCTCTTGCCTAACTGAGCCCCACACACAATAATCAAGGGGGGGGTGCAGATCTGGGGGTGATGTAGCCGCAGAAATTGTCTGATAGCCATAACTGGGTTCTCCTGCTTGCATGTCATAGTGAAGAGTCCTGTTGCCAGACATAGGGTCTTCCAGCAGCCACCCTCTTGATCCTCGGCAGCACCTCTTCCTCAAGGCACTTAATCTAGGCCTCTGTGTTGAGTCTGAGGCCCTCACTAACAAATTCAGGAGTTCTTTTCTGATCAGAGTGAGTTTTCTGAGCTATTGTACCTTTGTAATCACCATCAGACTCATCTAATGTTTTCCAACTCCTCTGCATTGTCCTCAGATTGACACCCAAAAATTCTGAAATGTTTGTAATCAAGCTTCCGGTGTGAATGCCAAGTAGTACAGTATGCCATTTCCAAATTTCTAGCAGAGTGAATTGTGCTCTTTTTTCTTACATATGATGCCCAACTGACTCTACTATACTGTGCAGTCAACAAAATCAAAAACAACATGCATGCGCAAAATTAAAAACATAAAATGGCAACAACTTACCCATCGCATCCTGTATAAGGAAATTGTTCAACATTTACTGGCCTATAGGAGGATTGATATTATATAGTATTTCTTTGTTTCTAAAGGAATTTTTCTGTATCTTAATACTTTTAGTTTTTGGAAGGCATCTTTTGCTATTCTAATACAACTTCAGATTTCAGTGTCACATTTTTTTGTCAACTGTTAAAACACTCCCCCAGATATTTAAACTCTTGTATTTGCTTGATTTTGACCTCTTTGGCTGTGTTATAGTAACAGAAATTTGATCATTTGAAAGTTAGATGGCAGAATAAATTATCAATTGTCAACTTACTCTTCCATATGAACCAGACCCTAGGAGATCTCCTTTTTTCCATGTAAAGTCCTCTCCTATTGATAAAAAGCTGCTTGTCGTGCTTGTACTGGCGCGGCGGCATAAACTGTCATACTTATTACTTAACTCCTCAAGCTGAAGAAGATGAAAATTTTAATCAGTGAAAACAAGAAAATGTCTGTATTTTGGGAATGAAAAAATAAAGAAATATTAAACGCAAAAAAAAAAAAAAAAAAAATTACTTTCATATTCATTCAAATTTGCAGAGTTTTTTTAAAAGTGCAGTTATCATTATGCAGTAATTTATCTGGTAAAATTGCTGAAAAATGGAAAAGAAAAGAAGTGAGCAAAAATATTTTAAACAGATTAATATGAAGCATAACAAAACCAACTCATGGGAAATTATTTATTAGATTGTTCTTTTTTTTTTTTTACAGTTTATCAACCCTTTGTAGGCTATTTAAAGCTGATGTGTAAAAATATTTCTTTTTTCTTTTCAAGTGAATATTGCATTAATAATTCTTTGAGAATAACAATGAAATTTTCCTTATACAAGTTCGACTATTTAACCCATAGCTGGGAGGAAATGGATTCATACCTTTCCTAGGGTTATTTGCATGAAAGTGAATGTAACAAACTCAACTGGAATTAGAACTTCACTCTCCAATTTCTCATTCTGAGCTGCTATCCATTGCACCACCTGCACACCCTTTTATTTATTGAAGGTTCTTATGCTTTGATATAGTATTAATTAACTAAAGCTTAATTTGTATTGACACTTAAATAATTAGTGTATGATTTAATAAATACTTAATGATTCAAATGTATTAAAATAGTATTTACATTACACATTGTTATTAATTTCTTATTCATTTATTCAATATATTATTATTATTATTGTTAGTAATGTGAAATGATGTCCATTAATTGCTTAATTGTGTGTAGCATCCATCAGTCTCCAGAAAACCTTATCTGTGACCAAATAGTTATGCCTCAACTGCTGATGGTGGTGCAGCCTCTGTTATGGCTGTACAGGTTCACATGGTAGTGATAGTCTCAATTGCAACAAATGCACATGTCAAGTTCTCCACCAATGTTGGTTTGTTGTTTTCTTTTTGGTGAGCACATTTTTCTCTGGCAGCAAGCCTTTGTTTCTCTTCTCCTCACTCCAACCATTGGCATAAATCATGTCTCCAGAGTGAGCAATCATTAGTGACGTCTTCACACCTCTCAATGTCCATCACCGTCATGTCCCTTTTGCAGATGTCCTTGAAGCGAAGATAAGGTTGCTCTTGTGCTCTCATGGTGGTAGCCACTTCCCTGTACAGAAGGACCTTCTGAATCCTCCCATCTAGAATGTAGTATATATGTCCAAGCCAGCAGAGCTGTTGGAGGAAAGTGGTATATAATGGGTAACTATGCATAGGGAAGAACTACGGCATTGGTAACCTGGTTGGACAAATTGATGCCCAGAATGCATCTCAGACATCGAAGATGAAAGACAGCTTAATATATATATATATATATATATATATATATATATATATGTATGTATAAAAATTGTATATTTTGGCAGCAATCTTTCTTTCATGCAAGTTTCATTAAATATGAAGGTGCTTTAAGATTTTTATATAACTTTTCATGTGATCTTATTTTCTTTTCAGTAGATAAATTATATAAAAAATGTCCAAATGTTATATTTTTCTGAGCGCTTTTGGCTATACATTTAGCCATTTTCAAGGTTGAAATATATTAACTGTTAACTAGAAATAGGTTGTGGTATGTATGTATTTATATAATGTTTCATTTTCAAAACAAGGTCAAGATATTGTGATATAGGTCAATCAATTGTTGGATTTCCATATTAGGCTTTTTTCTGTCTAAAGTAGCTAATAGCAATGACGAGAATATAAACATAAGCAATAACATTAATATTTTTTATAAAAATCAGATGAACGACAATTACAAACAAGATGAAACTAGAATTAAGAACATTACAAAAATGCACAACACCAGTAGACAATAGCAAAAAAATAAACTAATTATTTATTACAAAAAATTTAAAACTATTGCCAACCTTATAGTTAAAAATAATAATTCACCCCTTAGAACAAAATTAAATAGAACAAATATTATTTACGAATTTAAATGTCCATTAAGGAATTGTATTTCTGATCAATCAAAATTCATAAATAATTATATGGGACACACTACAACATATTTGACAAGAAGACTCACACTACATCTTTCTGATCATGGCTCAATTAGAACTCATTTAAATATTCATGGAAATCTACTGGACCCTATTCGTAACATACTTGTTGATAACACAAATATAATAGCATCGTCTACATGTAAAAAAGGCTAAAAATAATGGAAGCCTTATTAATAAAAACAAAAACTGACACTCAATAATATCAACTATGAACATAGACAATATGTTTTGAAAATGAAATATTAAATAAATACATATAACAATCTTTTTCTAGTTAACAGTTAATATAATTCAACCTTAAAAATGGGTAAATGTATAGCCGAAAGCCCTTGGGAAAAAAAAAAAACAGCATTTGGACAGTTTTTATATAATTTATCTACTGAAAAGAAAAAAATTATAAGATCATATGAAAAATTATATAAAAAACTTAATCAACTCACCTTTTCTGTCATATTTAGTATATATATATATATATATATATATATATATATATATATATATGTGTGTGTGTGTGTGTGTGTGTGTGTGTGAGTGTTAGCATGTGTGAGTGAATGAATGTGTATACAAGTTTGTTTAAAACTGATTTTCATCAGTCTTTAAACAAATTTGTATACACATTCATTCACTCATTTGTCAAGGATTTTTTAATTTCATTTTTCCATACTTTGGATCATTTTTCTGGTTTCCGTTACATATTTAAATATAAATTGTCTAATATCTTGTGATTACTTTTAGGCTTTCATAAGCCATTATCAAAGTTTTTTTGTTCTTTTGTGCTAATTTAACAACTTTTGTTGGTCTTTATCCAAACTTGTATAAGTGAAAAAATGAAAACTGCTTCCCAAATACACCCAATCAAGTCAAGATCTGAAGCTTTGATTTCCCAGTTACTTTGGTAGGCAATAGTCAACTAGTTCTCACCCCTTCTTTCCAAGTATCCTTGTCAAATGGGCTAATGTGGGCAAGGCTGCACTTCTGCACATCACTCCCAATGCAGACCTTCCATGTCTTCTTAAGTCTACCTCAACATCTGTGACCAGGAACCCTGAATTCTGAGAAAGTTCTGATGTAAGATAAATTTCTTTAAGTTTTATAGCATCATCAACAGTTTTTGTTAGTACTACCAAATATAGTATTAATTCTATTAATGAATTCTTAAAATTCCTCCATTCTCATGCACTACAAAATGATTTTTTTTTTTTTTGGTTAAATCCGTTAATCAGTGTTTAGATAATTTGGATTAAATTCAAATGGAATCTTTTGGTCATTGGATGATGCTGAGGTAGTAAGGCATAGTTTAATAGGAAGAAGAACAAATACACTTTTTGTAGTATTGTATGCAAATGAGGCACTGCTATAAAAGCACTACATCACAGTGAATGCCAGTCAAACTACTATCCATTGACCTGACAATGTTTATTCCAAAGACTACTTCATAACAATATGGCATCGCCAATAGGATTCCTAACTATGTTTGATGAACCAGAGCATGTAGAAACTTGGAATAGATGTTTAGCAGCGATGGCTAGGGTAAAGAAACTGAAAGATAAGAAAACCCCAGGAGGGGAGAACAAAATAGTTTGCCAAGAATGAGCTAAAGTTGGCATATAACCAAATAGAAATTAATGAAAAATTTAAAGAAGTTACTACAATTAATACCACAATAGGCTTACTAAAATGGATGTGTCTTCCATTTGGAGTTAAGACTTCAAACCATATTTTTCAACAGGTAATTGAAAATGTTCTATCGGGGGAGGTGGGGGGGTTGTTAAAAAGTATAATCATATATCAAGACGATATAGGCATACATGGTTGCAGTAAAGAAGAATTTAAAAAAAAAATGAACAGGGGTTTATTGAGGACAAAAGAATAATTACCAAAGTAGTTGCAATAAAAAAAGAAACTGAAATTAAGATGAAAGAAATACCAATTGAAAAAATAAGAGAAAATGCTACATTTAAGAAATTTAAGAAAGTATTAACATGATGTAATAATTTGCACAATTAAAACATAATATTAAAAGAAATATGACAGATTTCAACCTGTTTTGATTGGTAATATAAACAGAATTATTAGAGATTTGAACAGAACAAAAAAAATTTCAAAATGATTTAGGTGAATCAATAAATCCATAGACTAATCATAAAAAAAATATTTATTTTACACAACAAAATGTTTATTTTTTTTAACACAGTATTGAATATTAATCACAAAGATCAAACATTTTATGGTAAAAGTTTTGCATCATAATTCATGCTACAGGGGCACCTCAGTGTGGTGTAATTGTTAGCAAGCTTGTTTTACTAGATCATTTACGATTGAGAAGTGAGTTTGATCCTTACAGGGTGCCCCCATACTTTCAGCCCTGTTCCACATCTAAGCTATGTTTAGAAAATTGCCATAATTCATGCTACAGTCTTAATGATCCATCCTTGTAGCTAGATGCACTGGCATATAAAATGCATCTATACTAAGGTAAGTAATATTCAAGAAACATTGTCCACTTGTAAAAATTAGGGATAATATTTTATTTGATTTTTTTTAGTGGCATATCAACCTCTATGGCAAAATGGTTTTTATCAAAGATTAGTATTCATTACATCTTTGTTAAAACCATCACATTTGTCAGAATAAAAAATTTTTTTTTTATTAAGTGGGGGTTTGTTCAGAATATTGAAAACTTAATCCCAGACTTTTTTATAGAATTATTGAACTTATTTCAAATGTCAATTTTGAAACTGTACTTACATTATATATATATATATATATATATATATATATATATATATATATATATATATATATATATATATATATATACACACATTACGTTTCATTAAATAATATAAACAAGTGTTGTCTATTTATTTTGTGTAAATTCTTTTCATAACATCTGATAAGCTTAACAACATTATCATTAAATGAAGAAAGAAAATCACAATATTGATCCATGTTGTACAGTAATTGACATCTTTGACAATGGCTTATGTAAGCTGAAAGCTTAGATTGGATTAAAAAATATGGATCAATATTGTGATTTTCTTTCTTCGTTTAATGATAATGTTATTAAGCTTATCAGATGTTATGAAAAGAATTTACATAAAATAAATAGACAACACTTGTCTATATTATTTAATGAAACATGTATGAATGAAAAAATGATGCCTAAATACACAATATATATATATATATATATATATATATATATATATATATATATATATATATATATATATATATATATATAAATTCCCCTTGAGAAACATATGGTCATAAGATATCATTGCAGTTTCTATAACAAGGATTCATACTTGTCCCAAGGGTAATAGCATGTTAGTGAATGTAATGGATTTGACTGAAATTCAATCTCGCCTCTCCGATTCCTCAATCTGAGCATCTAACCATCACTATTGTGCCTCCTCACTTACATCATTAATATCTGCCTATTGTTTAGTTCCCTTTAAAGTACTCTCTCAACAATCCTTCCATTTTTCAAGGATATCTATAAATTTTTCCCCTATTTTTTACAAGTGGACCAGTCTATTTAAGTAGTGCCAAAACATCTAATAATATTCAAATAATGATTTATCATTAATTACATATTTTTTTAATATATTTTACCATTACTTTGATTTATAAATCACAACTGATTCCTTCACAATCATATATATTTCATATTTGGATTATTAGGAGACTCGTGTGTTTAATAGTGATAATGTGTATACAAAAACATATAAAATCTTGTTCTACCTGAGAGAAAGATGCAGATTCTTTATCAGATGAATGTCCATCAACACAACGGAATTTGTGAGAAGCTTGACTTTTCAAATTTCTATGAAAGGATGTCTTTGCTCCTGTGGCATCTAAATTTTCTTTTACATCATTTATAATTTCTTCCTCAGCAGTTGTAGTATTGTCACTTTTACTCTGGGCATAAAATGGGGAATTTTTCTGGTGTTTTAACGACCTGAGTAATATGCTGTCAGACTCAGGCAGTGAAATGTTTGATAAACGTTTTTCCAGGCAAACTGGAGATGTAGAATAATTTAGCAATTCTTCAACAACAGAATCAAGATTTTCCTGGTTGACCTCTGCAGTTTTTATTTGATCTTTCTGCTGATTCTCTGCAAAGATTTTCTCACTCAGGCTTTCTACATCTTCAGCACAATCAGACTCACATAATGACAGACATTCAAAATCTGTTTCATACTCAGAATCACTGTCTGCAACAACTGGATTTACATTTTTGGCAACATATTCTGATTGAGGAAGACCTTTGTTAAAATCTTTGTACTCATCATGTTCATTATCCTGAACAGATAGATTCTCAGACAGAACATTTAACAGTTCAGTATTTGCACCATCGAAGGGACAAATTGTTGTATCGTTCCAATCTTTATTTCTTGAAATATCATCCATCTTTAGGATCTCTGGAGATTCATCAACTGAAGAAAGTTTATCATAAGAAGAATTGCTGTTTTGCATATTCAGATTATGGATTGTTAAATGTGAAAGTTTTTTACCTTTTTCCTGATTGTTTATTAGATTGTTAAGGAACTCGGGATGGAAATCATCAATCATTTTGTTATTTTCATTTTGCTTACTGCCGTTAGGATCATCATCATCTTTGTTTGATGAAGTATATTCCTCACAAATATTAGAATGTTCAACAACTTTCACATTTCTGACATCAATACAGTCTGTAACAATATGCCAGTTGGAGCCTGAAATGATTGCCATGTTAGGGTTAAGTTTTGAACGCAAATCTTCCTCAGATTCTGATCTTGCCGAGAATTGCTTAGGATTTTTCCGTTTTGATTTACTTTGATGTTTCCGGGACATCTTATGACTTTTGCCATCTTTTTCATTTGACCATTTTCGATTAGGATGTTTATTGACCTTTTTTGATTCCTGGTTCTCATTTGGCTGGTGGAGCTTGCCACCGGGTGGTTTAGGACCAGAAATATTTTGCAGTATTCTTTTAGGCTCTACAACTATATTCTGCTTGTTCACAGTCTTATTATTAGGGTGTGGTTCATTTTTACGCTCTCTGAGTTTCTTGAACATATCCTCAATTTTGACACAAGAGTCAAGTTTTGTAACTGCTGTTGTCTGAGTTCGTTGGGCAAGGATATCCAACAAGGGTTTATTTTCCCCATTGGGTGCCATTCTGACTTTGTGCTGCTTAGCTAATTCTGAAACCAATGGCTTTCTGCTTTCATTGATTTTATTTTCAAATAAGTGTCCTTTATTTTGCAAGTGCTTTGTGACATTTCTTTCATTACGTTTGTGCATGGTTACAGAACTAATGCATACACCAACATCTTTGGGACGTAGACTGGATACAGACTTTTGATAATTTAGCCTCCTTTGTAGGTTCAACAACATCAGATGCTGAGTTTCATTTCTTGACGATAAGTTTTCAATTTTTGCCACTGTTGATGAACGGTACATTTTCTGTGGCTTGCTGGTCACTTTAGCAGAATTAGGTGTTTTATTTTGTGAATTAACAGGTCTTTTATTACTTGAAAAAAGTTTGATCTTTTCAGGTTTGATAAGTGCTGATTTATCACTAAGATTTTTCTGGGCAACAGATTCAATCTTCCCAGTCTCAGAGATTTTTGTGCTTTCTGCAGAGCCATTTTCCTTCTCAGAAACCAGAACTTCTGAATATGCTTCTTTGTCTAAATTGAAATTAGAATTATTGTTGCTTGAATTTGTTTGCTCTTGACAATTTTCTAAAGCACCAGACAATAAATTCTTGGAACCAGAATGCCTGTTAATGTCTGCATTGCAATTTGGCTGTGACATTTCTAAAGAATGCGGCTGTAGCATTTTACATTGTTCTTCATGTGGCTGTGAAAGACATGAGATCTGTGAAATATCTTCGTGTGACAAAGAATTTCTTAAATTTTGAGTATTTTTCTTCAATTGTTTCTCTCTTTGTTGGCCACTATTTAAACTCCGGCTCAAGTATGACTCACGAGGTGATGACAGCGACTGAGACAATGAGGATGAGAATGATGAACCAGATGATGAATGATATGAGAAAGCCAGACTTGAAGTTGACCGTAAATAATTACTCTGCTTATTGAAACTTTGAGAGGCATTTAACCCTGACTGATAAGGCTTTGGCACGCCTGTGTTTCCTTCTTCTTGGGTTGAGATTTTGTCTTTTGAAGATGCAACTAAAGGATGTTTATGATCCATAATAGGTCTGGCATCCGGTTTTTCAATTGACAGATGAATGATCCCTGCCTGAATGAGATAAGAAGGTATTATAAGTACAAGATTAGATATTTTGAAAAAGATATTCAAATAGGTATCCTAATAAATTTTACAAATATAAGTAGAGATTTTACAAGTATTGGTTTATATTCTACAAGATAAAAAAGATTCATAAAAGTCTGTAATATTTATGATAATTGTATAAATTCATAATAACAAATGATGCAATATTACAATGGATCAAGCCAAATGATGAAATATTACAATGGATCAATGCCCAGATGTTTCCCACTTTTGAAAAAATAAAAGTAGCCAAAGTTCATAAGGCTGATACTAACATTGTGAAAAAAAAAAAATCTAAAATAAAATCTAAAATAAAATCATTCCTCCCACCATTGAAAAAAAGAGAGAGAGAGAGAGAGAGAGAGAGAGAGTGATTACATCCATTTCTTCTGCTTACAGAAGAAAGGTTGCTTGGATTTAATATCCAGGGTCTCAAGTGACTCTCAAATTGTTGCCTGAATGTGCCCTGCTGATGGCTGCAAATAAAAACTCTGGTAAAAATGATGCACTAATAAGGTTATTAGATGTTCTGCAATCAAAGGACTGGAAGTGTTGACAAGTGTATCCAAATTTAAAAAGAAAAATATCATGAATTAAATTTGAAATAAATTAAATTAAATAAATTGAAATAAATTCAGTTAAATAAATAAATTAATTTCATATTGAAATAAATTAAATCAAATAAATTTTAAAAGAAAAATAATATCATGAATAGATTTTGCAAAAAAGTAAACAAAATTAAAATATTTTTTCCCAAATTTTGAAATTAAACTTTTGATTGAAACATATCAATGACAGTATATTTGATGGCATGTAAAACTCTCTTATTTTCTCCCCAACAAAATGGTTAAAAATCCCTTGGAACTGAAAGTTGAGGTATAAACTAAATTTTCCTAATTCCCTTCTGGAATTGGGTGGGGCCATCAGATATAGTTAAATATAAAACAGGTTGACAAATAATTGTGATATCTAAGAAAAAATTACAAAGAGCTTAAAAGAGAGCTTTAGGAGACATTAAAATTAACAAGCCATTTCTTGCCCCAATTAACAACAGATTGATGGTCATTTTTAAAATCAGCTGCCAATTTGACTTTGTGAAACCTATCAGACATTAAGACAGGAATAAGTAGTTGTGTCATTGGCAGATATTGAGTTGAGAACTGATGAGATCTTGAAGGTCATTGATAAAAATTAAGGACAAAGTAGGTCCCAAGGATAGAGCCCTTGGAGTTGCCTGCATTTATACAGAAAGACCTAGAAGAGTGGCTATTCGAAACAACTTAAATTTGGTGATTTGATAAAGATTGAATCAAAACAAAAATCCAACCAGAAGCACTGTAATCTTTCAACTCATAAAGAAGACTAGTGTGCTAAATGCTGTCAAACACTTCTAAAGATGGCAGACTCTTCCAGCAATAACTGCGAAGACATTGGCTGTTCACCTTGAGAAATGAAAGCCATATTGTTTGTCTGACAGAAGACCCTGCACAATGAGATGCTTAACCAATTCAGAATTGATAAGACCCTCCAATACTTTGCCAAAAAGAGGCTGAAGACTAATTGGTCTTTACATTAAAAGACCAATTTGAGTTGTGGTATCTGGTATGCTTATGTTTAATGTAAACTATTTTTTGTACCTAATGTCATAATACTGTAATATTAAATGTAAATGGTGCTGTTAAGGTAGGAGGTATCTTATATGCCATAAAATACACAGGTTATATTTTGTTTGCATGTGATAATGTAGTTACTTATTACACTACAAATATGTCAATTACTGTGCCATTTATTAAAAAGTTTTACAAGAGAGACTTGTTAAACTATTTTATCAGTTCTTATTACTATAAATGTTATTTTAGTGGCTTTATATTCATGTTTATTCCCAAACAGTGAAATTAATGCCCACCAGCCAATATCATCAAAAGTTTTATTGTAACTCTCAGTAGAAATCTAATCTTTTGTTATTTTTCAAGAAAGCAGTATCTTAATATCTCAACCTAAATGAAATGTAAAAAAAAATAATAAAAAACAAATGAAAAAAAAAAAAAATGAAGCAATTATTTCTGTGATTGATATCATTCAAAAGGAAATATTTAATGGATCCTACAGAAGTAAATGAATCAATAATTGTAAATTTAAAATGTTTCTAACCTCCTTTCTACTTCATTGAAAGAGCATTTTTTTTATACTTTGAAAATCAGGAATAAAGTACAATGAAAAAGAATTTTCTGTAGCAGCACTAAGAGAATTTAACCTAAGTAGTTCTTCCCAGTTTATTTTTCTGGAATGTTGCTCATAATATGAAAGTGCTTTCTTGTCAGGAATATATTTTCTGCTTTTGTGGATAATGTATGGTTTTGCTATGTTCATCCATACTTCATTTGTCCCATGAGGTTTTCATCCCCATTGGGTAAAGGAAGTTAGCTGAACACACACTTGACCTTTGAATTGAGCTGTGACAATCAATACAAAAAAATATATTTTTCACTACACGTAATATTTTAAAAAATTTCAGTTAATTGATCATTAAATCAATTGTTGTCAACTATATTTCTATAACAAGTACTTTATAAACCGAAATTTTATGAAATATGTTTATTTTCTAGATATAATTATAGCCTGAAAATTAGTTACATTATTTATATCTGGACTAATGTCCTCATCTTTGTTGTTATTATCAAACTTTCGGGTATAGCACCTTCCAGATTTCATCAGATGTGTATTGATTCAGCTAACCTTCATGGAATTTCTAACAATAACTGAGCTGTAATAAGAAAGATAACAAGATATCGTTAGACATAGACAGTGAAATGGGAACTACTTACTTCCATAGATAATAAAGATAAAGAAAGGATTCAATTCCCTGAAGCTTACCTGAATTGACAGACACCTGACTGATTGTGTTTAGTGGCTCCTCAGCCTCTTGTGGGTCATTTATAGCCAAATTAATTGTGTTGTAAACATATTTTATAGTTGGTCAAGTATGGATGAGAGTAAGTTTTATAGTTCTTCAGATATGGTTGAAGAAAAATTTTCCCCAAGTATGCTAGAGAAGAAAGTTTATTGTTTATAAGGCATAGCTCTAAACAAGTTTTATTGTTTGTCAAGAATGATTGAAGCTTTTTGTTTCTGTAAACACTTACAAACATTTCTTTGATTATTTTTATTTTTTTTAATATTTTATTGTAAAGTCCAATTTTTTGACATTGCATGTTATCTAGTTTAATGTTTTCAAAAAGTTCTCTAAGATTGTTCGTTCAGTAATAGATGTTTTGAATTTCCTGACAGACACCTGAAAAAGGCTAGATAACACAACAGCTGAAATGTGATTAATAGCAACAAAGATGAAGATATTAGTGTGAATGTAAATAATGTAAATATTGATTAACTCCTCATTCCAGAAATTCATACAAAAATCCTGAAAATTTTCTCAATGTCACTTGGTTATTGCCAATTATGAAAACAATGACTTATATTATAAAATATGCCAAAGACTAATAATTTTGATTATGTTGCTTAATTCTTACTTTTTGTGCAAAAGATTCCTGAGCAACTTCTGAAGATCTTCTGTAGGAAAATCCAGTTTTTGAAAAATCAAAAGATGAAAAAGAAGGTATGTTGGGAAACAGAGAAGGAAGTACATCATTGTTGATCATTTCTGGAGTATTAGAGCCTGTTTTTATCCCAGCATCCTTTGTTTCATCTTGCTTCAGATTTCCTTCTTTGATTTTCATAATATCTGAAAGAAAAATTAAGAATAGAGAATCAGAAGCAAAAATGGTAAGCTCTATAATAATATTTATTAATTGGTGTAACAGAAGTTTTAAAGAACTTTGGCACAATCAAAGTTTGGATTGAAATTCTGTGACAAATGCTCTGCTTCAATTTTGTCAACAGAAATAGTAAAAAAAAACAAAAACAAAAGAAAACTGATTATTTATCATTAGCAACAACTATTTAGAGGACACTGCTAAATAAAGGACTTTCTCAACTCCTATGACAAATGTGCTATTCTCTGCCCTGTCTTACTAGCAAACCTCTATTTAATATTTTCCTCCACTGGACACCAATCAACCAACCTTTTGCTCCATCTATTATTCTTTTTTCTCATGATTCCTGCTCACTTCCATTTTTCTTTTAATCACGTCAATCAGATCTCTTATCTTGATCTTTATATAATCTATTACACTTATAATCCATTACACTTATATGACCTCATTCTATTTCTTTGAGTTATTTTATTTATTTTTTTTAATTGTTTCATCCCAAGCAATGCGATAATGCATACCAGGGTCACAGGGAGTGAAAGATTCTCTTTTAATGAGGGGGAGTGAGGAAAGAACAATAAAGGAACAGGGTTCAGGTAAACAGATGACGATTTATGTTGCATTTAAATTTTTGAAGATTTTAAGTGGCAGGAAAGCAAGAAATCAGAAAGGAGTTGCACAGATGAGAAGTGTGAGAAAAGAAATTGTTAGAATAGAAGTGGCAGTTGTATCTAGCTAGTTCAACAGTAAAATGGTGAGACCTAGTATCTTGTTTAAATTCATGTAGTCAAGGCAACAGGGAGAAAAAAAAAAAACTCATCCTCGTATTGCTCTTTCCATTGATCTTTTTTAAGTTTGTTTTGAAGTAATTTTATTAATTTCCCTGCTTTGCAACTGTATGTCATAGCTGGCATTAGACATTCACTGAATACTGTTTTCAGTTTTCAACTCGGCAGCTGATGACACAAATATTTATTCCTCATTTAATAGTAAGTCTGATTGACTTGATAAAGTCAAATAGGCAGCTGACCTCAAAAATGACATACAAAACTGCTCTCTTTCAATCACTTGAGAAAAGCTTTTTTACATTCTATTAGCATAGCTGATGCTAACCTCCAGGAGAGTGACTCATTGTGCATTATTGGATTAACGTTTTCTGCTGATATGAAGTGGAAATATTATATTGAATCAATTGCTAAGTCTGCAGCTAAGAAAGTTGGTTCACTATGTCATGCTAGATAATTTTTTTTCAACATAATCTATCTTACATATTTATTAGTCTACCATTCATCCTTTTTCATAATAAAAGTAGCAGAAGAACTATCCCTCACACAGAACAAGTGAATCTCTGAATAAAATAACCTTACCTGTCTTCTTAGCTTCAGTCCTTTTCCAACTGCTAAAATATAGCTTCCCAGTGCCTTTTCTATAAATACTTTCATGGTAATTATTCTGATGAACTTTCCTCTTTGGTACCTAAACTTTATGAATTTAAGCAGAGTACTAGATTGGTGGCAAGGTCTCATCATTTTATAATTGGAGTGGCTAGATGTAACCATAAGTTTTATGCTAACAGTTTCTTCTATCACACTTCTTGCTTGTGGAACTCTCTCCAGGCTTCTTGCTTCCCATTCAACTTTGATCTTCAGAAGTTTAAATGCAATGTCAATCCCTACCTTCAGTCTTCTTAATTCTTTATTGTACTCTCTCCTTAATAGTAGTTTTTGTCATATTCTCTAACATTCAGTAATCTCTTGCATCTTAGTGGCTTTATTGCCTTGCTTGGGAAGAAATGATTAAAACAAAAAAAGTAGATTGACAAAATTCTTTTCATTCTATGTTTAGTTTAGGGTGAATGCTTTCTCACCAATCATTACACTTTCATGGTGTCTTGTTTTATATTTTCAAGTAGATATATTCCTGTATTTTTTGTCCTTCATTCTCTAGTTTTATTATCTTTTATTCAAACATTACTTTTGTTTTATTTCTTTTAATTTTAAAACCTAATCTGAAACTTTCCTTATGTTATTTAATATTTCTTGTAATTCATCTAATCATTCTGATATTAGTCAAATGTTATCAGCAAATTGGGGGCAGCTGAAATATTCTCCATTTATGTTTGCTCTCATTCCTTCTAATTTTATTTTCCAGAAAATAATTTCAAGATACACTGTAAATAATTTTGACAAAATTGGATCTTTTTGTTGCTCTGTTTTATTTTATCTGTGTCTTTGTGTTGCAGAATTATTACAGTACAGTTATCAGATATAGTTTTATTAACTTTTATATCATTTGCATTAATACCCTGTTTTTCAAGTGAGTTGAAGACAACCATTTTTTTTACTGTGTTAAAAACCATATTTTCTTGTGCATAATAAAGAAATTTCGAATAAAATTTCAAGGCAAAAATGGTGGTGGGGGGGTACAGGTTTTTGAAAATTTTTACTTGGCTTAAAAATTTGAAACAGCAAAATTGCAAATAAACTCAGTTAATCCAATAGATAATAAAACAAAAAGCAGGCAGATGTTGATAACAATTGTTTACAAATGGTATTTAATATGTCAGCCATATTAGATCTTTGGGAATCCACATAATTGAATATTATTTGTCTCAAAGACAGGAAATTCACTGAAATAGATGTTTAAAAATTAATAAAGGAATACACAAGACCTGTCATGTTTTGATAACATTAATCTTACAAAGTACTCTCCTTGAAAATAAGTTTTGAAAGGAAAATTAGAAGAAACATGCAATGATTAAATATCTGCTTCATCTATATTCTTTAATATTGTGAAAAATTAAATATTTTACTAAAATATATGTATGACATTGAGATTTTAATGGTAATATGGTACAACTTTCTAAAACAATTTCCATAAGGATGGGTGTATTACTACATTGTAATTTATTTCAGAAACATAGGGTCATATTATACTGAAGTCATATTATACACAAAAAATACGATAAACAAGATGATATTTATAATGGTTCAAAACTTTTTCAAGAATCATATGAACCATAAAAGTTTATATGATCCTTGCTTGCATAAATGATATTTGAGATCTGAACTCCAGATTTCAAATATGAATTTTTGTATTTCACCAGTGATAGATTTAGCTTGTAAGGACACTCAGCTATATGCCTCTTGTAAAAAAAAAAGAAAAATTATGCCAGAATTTTAAAACCTCCACTTCCCAATTCTCATATTTTTTGAGATCCCTGATTTTAGTCATAAGCAATGCCAGCTTAGAATATAAGATTTCATTATTTTAAACACACACATGCAACACATTTTATTCATCTTTGATCTGATTGTTATACCGGAACATACCTATTCTATTGTAAATAGACTCTCCCACAGATAAGTAGTAGTAGTAGCAGTTGCCAGTGGAGCTGAGTGAGTTGTGTGAGTCAGTCGATGTCGAACATTAAAGTATGAGCCCCACAACTAGATTGCTGCGTCATTAACTATTATTTCAAGTTCCTAATGTTTTGTACATCGAACCTAATTTAGGACCAACTTAGAGAAATACAAGCCTCCACTGTGAAAACTACTCTACAACACATTTGGCGATGAGGGATTCGTTTCTCATACGGAAAAAAAAAATTTAAAGAAAAAAAAAAATTTGTTTCACCATATACAACACTTGGCGACGAAAGTATTTTGGATTCATACGAAAAAAAACTGTGTGTTCACTCTACAACACTTGTTGACGTGGATTCATAACTCATACAGAAGAGGAAAAGAAAAAAAATTCACCCTTCATAACAAACGTGGCGTATGAGGGATTGGGTTTCATACAGTGAAGAAAAAAAAAAATTTCGCTCGCCATGTTATTTAGTGACGAAATTCGTTTTTCATACAGAGGAAAAAGAAAAAAAAAATTTGCTCGTCAAATTTTCAGCGACAACATCTCGGATTCACATTAAAAAAAAAAAACTTTGAAAAGTTTTTCGAAAGACAAGACATCAACTTAGTGACGAAAAAATCAGTCGTATTCTCAACTGAGAAAAGAATTTTTTTTCTCGATAAGACAGTTTGCTCAAATACGTCACGAATTACAAATTCGTTTTGGACCCCACTCTACAATATTTAAGCACTGTGTAAACTTTTTGCAAAGACGGAGGAATGCAAAAATATATTCCAGGAATTTTTTTAAAGTTCCAGACAGAACAACAAATGACAATATTAGAGCAACAGAAAACATTCCAGATGCAACTACAGGAGGAAACTTTTAATAGACAGATGCAATTTCAACAAGAAATGGAACAAATGTATAAGGAGTTTCAAAACAAAATTCTGGAAATAACTGAGAAGAGGAAAGAGAAAAATTTATAAAATGATTCTTTCCCAGAGAATACAATATGGAATTTGATTGAAATATTCATGTACAGTCCAGATGAAGAGATAACTTTTGAAGAGTATTATAAAAAATATATGGACGTGTATAATGAGGACTGCCACATGTGGTCTGAAGGAAAGAAGGTTAGACTTCTTTTAAGCAAGTTAGGAACTGCTGAGCATAACAAATTGGTAAACTACATTTTACCGAAAAAAAAACTAGGGAGTTGACATTTACCAAGGCGGTAAATATATTAAGTGAATTAAGTAAAAGGACATCTTTGTTTCACAAGAGGTGGAAATGTTTGAATATGATGAAAGATGAAGAACAAGACTATATAACGTATGCAGCCAATGTGAATAAGCATTGTGAAGAATTCAAGCTAGCAGAGTTAAGTGCTGACAACGTTAAGTGTTTAGAATTTGTTCAAGGACTAGTATCAGAAAGAGACACAGAATTGAGGAAATTGGTACTTTCAAAATTGGAAAACGAACCGAGGATTTCGGTACAGAGTTTGGCAGAAGACTGCACAAGATATGTTAGCGTAAAGAAAGACTCGAAAAGGATAGAACAGTCTGGCGTTTAGCATGTAAGGAAAATACGCTACAAAAAAAGTCAGTCTACCAAAAAGAATTCTAAAATTGCGGATTATCAAACAAAAAGTAAAATACCAGAAAAAAATAAACAAAAACTCCCAAAGCCATGTTTTGCTTGCAGTGAACTACACTGGTACAGATATTGCAATTTTAGGAATAAAAAAAGTTTCAACTGTGAAAGAGTGGGTCATAAAAGCTCGCACTGCAGGTCAAAAAATAAAGACTTTAAAATAAGAAAATTAAAGTCTGACAAAGTGAACGACGGAATAACCAGAAAATTTGTTACCGTCGAAATAAGTAATAAAAAAAATAAAAATGCAACTCAACACTGGTTCCGACCTATCTATCATAAATTTGAATATGTGGAAGAAGTTGGGGAAACCAACTTTAATGAAAACAAATAAAATCGCGAGGTCAGTGACAGGAGAAAAAATACAATTTATTGGAGAATTTGTTACAAATATCACGTTAAATAAAAAAACGCGAAAAGCTAAACTATTTGTCATAGAAAATACCATGAACTTACTTGGTATGGATTGGATAACAGAATTCCAATTATGGGATCTACCGATAAATTCTTTTTTTTACAAGGTAGATTTTTTAAACTATGAAGCCCAAAAATTAGTAAAAAAATTAAGGGAACTTTTCCTACTGTTTTTTCTCCAGGTTTGGGAAACATGTACCAAGATGGAGGCAAAATTACAGCCAAAAGAAAACGCTCAGGTGGTATTCAAAAAGAAACGGAATGTGCTGTTTGCTTCAATTGAACAGATAGATAAAGAATTGGACAGATTAGAGAAAACCGGTGTATTTAAAAAAGTTGAATGGGTAACACTGATGATATATGTGAAAAACAAGCTCCAGAAAGTAAAAATGAAGCCAACACCAAAAAAAACTGAGGATCGAGTTATCTGCAGCCAAGGACATGCGGTATTATTAAATGATTTAAGTCAACAAGAAGAACCTACAGAAACTGTGAGTCCATCTTTAAGAAGTTCAAAGCGGAAGGTTGTTTCTGGTAACACTATGGAGGTATAAAAAAAAAAAAATAGAAAAGCGGACTGCCTATATGAGGTACTTGGTGAAAGGGGAAAAAACTCACATGCAGTAACGAGAGCAGACGACGTTTTTCAGCGTGGTTGACAGAAGTCCCACGAAAAAAAAAAAAAAAACGCTGATGGAGGTGATTTTCAATAAGTTTGATCTAACAACCCCAGCAAATAATTTTACCTGAGGTACGCTGATCCAGAAGAAAAAAAAGAAAGGCAACTGATCATTTAAAAGTGGATTAAAAAAACAAAAAAAAACGTAGGAAATATGCTAATTTTTTGTTGTTTTTTCTTCATATTTTCTGTAAAAAATGAAAAATAAATAAAGAAAACTTTTTAATCCTACGGAGTAAAATTTTAGTGGGGGTTGTTATACCAGAACAGACCTATTCTGTAATAGACTCTCCCACAGATAAGTAGTAGTAGTAGTAGCAGTCGCCAGTGGAGCTGAGTGAATTGTGTGAGTCAGTCGATGTCGGGCATTAAAGTATGAGCCCCACAACTAGATTGCTGTGTCATTAACTATTATTTCAAATTCCTAACGTTTTGTATGTCAAACCTAATTTAGGACTGACTTAGTGAAATACAAGCCTCCACTGTGAAAACTACTCTACAACACTGATGAAGCCAAAAAACACAAAATGCATAGTCAGATGTTTTTTTTGAAACATGTTTTCATGAATGTTTTTCCAAATGTATATATATATATATATATATATATATATATATATATATATATATATATATATATATATAGAGTGAACTGCTATTGAATTCACAATTACATAGCTGTAATACCTGCAGAAGGCCAGAAAGTGCAACAGTTGAAATGTTGGGATAAAAACAAAGATGAAGACAGTAGTCTAAATTCTAATATAATTTTCTTTTGTTTTTTACTATTGTTTACCCAATACAAGGCCCAAGAGCCATTCAAGGTAAGGGATTGCTAAATGAGGTTGTTGTAAGGGCATAAAGGCAGGAGAAAGTGGTGCATATTATGAGGATAGATATTGTTAGACTCTAGACATGAAGAGGTTAAAATTGTGGTGATTGGGAAGAAATAATTATACTTCTTGTCCATAAACACAAACACACATACAAAATACCTGTGTTTTAACAAGCTATTCCAATGTATAGAATCCATATTATAAATCAAAGATGTCTGGACACTTGCCTATAGCTTTGAATGTTTTGCTGCTCTTGTTCTCTACTGGACACAAATGATCCATGAGAGTTTTGCTTGACATTGAGTGACTCAGGAAGAGGCCATCATTACTGTTTTTACGAACCAAAGGTGGAAGCTTTTCACAACTCCTCGACAGTTTCTTGTATGAAGTTTCAGTTTGATTAGCAGTCTTCCTTTAAAAATATAAAACCAAAATCAGACATTTATAAGAATAAGGTAAAAAGGACAATACAAATTTTAGTTGTTTTTTAAGAAAATATCTGTTTAAATACAAACATTTCTGACCTTGTTTTGAAGGGTTTATTCAATAATAGGAAAAAATGTAATGTCTAAAGAAAAAAAATCATAAGTTAGTAGTTCAACAATCCCATTATGTTTAATCTTATATCAGGTTAATGTAAAAGTAATGTCTGATTTCAAGGTCTATATTAAAAATGAAAAAGCCCATGATTATGAAAATATTTATTTGTTAAAATAACCTCCTTTGCTTTCTAGAACATCATTCCATCTGTCAACAAGATTATAAATGCCATGCCTCTAAAATTCCTTAGCTTTTGAAGCAAAATATGAATCCGACTCATTTTCAACCGCTTCACTTGATATCAACCTAAGGCTATCAAAATGATTCTGTAGTTCCTAAAACAAATGATAATCAGAAGGAGCAATGTCAGGAGGATATGGTAGATGAAGCAATATTTCCTAACCAAACTCTTTCAAAAGATTTTTAGTCAGCCAAGCTGTGAACATTATCATGATGACACCCTTTCAATTCATTAAGGAAGGTTGCTTTTGGTTCAATGCTGTTTTCAAATGACAAAGTTGATCCCAGTACAGATTAGCTGTAATTATTTGATTGTTGTTTAACAGTTCATAATGGACAATTCCTTCAATATCCCACCATACACTCAACATGATCTTCTTTGGATGAAATCCTCCTCTTGATTGTTAAAATGATCTTCCTCCTTGACTGATCCATGATCAGCAGCATTTAACATTATCTGTATTGGCAGAAGCCATTACACCCGTGTTTGGTATACATTGCTTTGCGTTGTGTCAGACATTTTCCTACGGAAAGAGTTGCGTCCCTTACACTCCATATTGAATTTGACTCCTTTGCTACAGGTAAAGGATACACTTCTCATCACCTGTAATAAACCTACCTAAAAATGGTGCCTGAAGATGTTGTGAAAGATATGATTTGCAACAAGCAACACACTGTTGCAGATTTCCTGGAGACAGTTTGTATGAGGCCCATTTTCCCAACCACTGACACCTTTCCAGTCCTTTTTAATTGGCATAACATGATTGTATGGTCTACAAGTTCCCTAGAGGTAATGATGTTCTGCAAGTTCCCTAGAGGTAATGGTGGGATTGTCTGTGACATCAGATTCCAAATCTTTGGAATTAAGTTTTTTTTGGACAACCCTCTTTTTACTCATCTTCCAAACTGAAATCACTAGTTTGGAAATGGGAAAACTCCCTCCTGTAACTTCTCCCATTCACTGCATCATCTCCATAAGCACTCTGAATAGACTTTGCTGCTGCACTTG